TAGGGAAAGGTCCTTTGTGTTGAGGAGGGTAGAGTCTAGGAAGTATACTTCTTAAAGGAGTCTTGAAGATGTGAGTCCTGTGGTGAATACCCTGTTGCACCTGAGAGGATCTATCTATAGTGCCTTCCAAACAGGTTTCCATTCTGTAAATGTCCACTCCTTGAGTATTTAGAGTCTGAGATCTTTAAATCCTAGTCTGCCTTCAAATTTGGCATCTAGACATAGGCTGCTGATCTCTCTACCCTGATGGTTGCCCTGGTAGTTTGGGAAGAGTTTGTCAAGATATTTCTGCCTATAAGAAAGATTTAAAATTTTGGATTTGAGGAGATAAGTAACTTTCCTAGGATCACATGATAGTTGTCAGGCATGCTGACTTTTTTTTTTTTTTTTAAAAGGTTTTTGTCAGGCATGCTGACTTTTTTTTTTTTTTTTAAAGAGGTTTTTGCTATAGGGTGTGTGCGCTCGCCAGACAGACAGACAGAAAGCGAGAAATCACCCCCCAGGAGTTATGGCCACGCCACAATCCCTTCTCCATTCTCCTCTCAGGATCTTGGGCACACATGCACACACGCCTGGCATGAGTTTTAAGCCACCGGGTCCGGGACACGAACCATGGTCGATTACATGGGAGTCCAGCGACATAGCCATTACACTAACTGCTGGTCCCAGGCATGCTGACTTTTTGATTAGTGTTTTCCATTTTGGCACAACCGATTCTAAACTACCTTTCATTTATTTCTAAGATCATTTTGGGGACCCCGAGTCAGCTTAGAACCAACATTGCTTCAAAATATTTTGTCTTGGGGCCAGCAGGTGAGAAGAGATCGGCTAACCATAATTTGAGTCCTGAACCCAACAACTTAAACTCATGCTGGGTGTGCATGTGTGCATGCCTAAAATCCTGAGAGTGGCCATCCCTACTGGGGAGAATTGTGATTTCTCTCTTTCTCTCACTCACTCTGTCTGCAGTGAGCTCACATGCCCTAGACCAAAAATCTCTTAAAACCAAAAAATGTGTATCTTAAAAATGTCTTCTGTTTGTTTGTTTGGTTGGTCGATTTTTTTGTCACTGGGCATATACACTTGCTGAAGAGAAATAGCACAGAAGTAAGAGATCTTTCCCAAGGGCTTATGTCCATGCTGCAATCCCTTCTCCTCCAGATTCCTCTTAGGATTTTACGCACAAACACCAAGCATCATTTTCAAACTGCCAGTATCAGGATTCAAGCCATGGTCAAGTAACTGAGAGTCTAGTGCCTTAACCACTATACCTCCACTAGCCCTTACCATGCCTCTTTTTTTTTTTTTAAAGAATTATTTTAACTTTATTTATTTTTTTTTTCTTTTCTTTTTTTTTTTTGGAGAGGTTTTTGCTATAGGGCGCGTGCACTCTCCAGACAGAGACAGCGAGACAGAAAGTGAGAAATCACCCCCATGGAGGATGGTCACGCCGCAATCCCTCCTCCTCCATTCTCCTCTCAGGATCTTGGGCACGCACACACACACGCCCGGCGTGAGTTTTAAGCCACCAAGTCTGGGACGTGAACCGCAGTCGACTACGTGGGAGTCCAGTGACATAGCCATTACACTAACTGCTGGTTCCCTTTAGTTATTATTTTAATTTGACCAGAGAGATATGGAGTGAGAGAGAGAGAAAGTGAGAAAACAAGCCTCCACATTAGGGCTATGAACTGTAATCAGCCATGTGAGAGTACAACGCCCTTAATCACCATGCCACCCTACAGTCCCCCATGCCTTGTTTTATCTTAAACACTTTCTGTGGATTATGTGTCTTCAAAGGGTTAATAAGAACTTGAGTATCTTCCATGTAATGTCAGTTCTTAAAATTATCAGTTGTGTAGGAATATTGTAGAAGCCTTTATTAAATAATTTACATTATTTACAATGGAATAATAAATTGCATCACACTTCTGCTCTAAAGCAGTAAAAGATATTAAAAAATAAAATCAGCCTTTTGGCCGGAACTGCCATCTTCCAGTAATTAACCAAAATAACGAACAGGAAAGAGGAGAGGCACCCGATATATGTTCTCTAGGCCTTTTAGAAAACATGGAGTTGTTCCTTTGGCGACATATCGCGAATCTACAAGAAAGGTGATATTGTAGACATTAAGGGAATGGGTACTGTTCAAAAAGGAATGCCCCACAAATGTTACCATGGCAAAACTGGAAGAGTCTACAATGTTACCCAGCATGCTGTTGGCATTGTTGTGAACAAACAAGTTAAGGGCAAGATTCTTGCCTAGAGAATCAATATGCGTATTGAGCATATTAAACATTCAAAGAGCAGAGATAGCTTCCTAAAACGAGTAAAGGAAAATGACCAGAAAAAGAAAGAAGCCAAAGAGAAAGGTACCTGGGTTCAACTAAAGCGCCAGCCTGCTCCACCCAGAGAAGCACACTTTGTGAGAACCAATGGAAAGGAGCCTGAGCTACTGGAACCTATTCCCTATGAATTCATGGCATGATGGGTGTTAAAGATAAACTAATCTGTGGTCTATAAATAAATAAATAAAATCACAGTACAAGGACTGCATATAAGTAAAAAACTCATTATGTAAAAATCTTAAAAGGTAATTGTCTCTTGTCCAGACAATTATTTTTTTTTATATTCATGGCTTAACCAAAACAGAGTCCACTCACTTCAAATTTATTATGCTATTCAAAATTTTTCATGTGATTATAAACTTGTAGTTATTGATCCTGAGATGGATACTGAACTTGAGCTGTCAAAGATTGCTTTCCTTGACCAAATATGAAGATTTTTGCTAATACTTCTCTCTCCAGATTCATTTCTAGTGGGTAGGGCTATCTCTGTCTCTTTCTATTTCTCTCTGTCTCTCTATCTCACTGTCTCCCTGTGACTTTTAATTTTTTTTGAAGGTGAAGTAGTCTCTGGGCATTTAAGCTTCTCCTCTATTGTGCTGATTGGTGCCTTTCCCCATTTCATTTAGAAAAGGCACAAACCCAGGCCGGGCCCATCCTGAGATGGATACCAAACTTGAGCTATGAAATATTGCTTTTGTGTGGTGCACATGCACACTGCACAGTTTTGTTTCTTGAGTTTTTTTGCCTTTTAAAATTAAAATTGAATGTTTTATTTTTTTCTTCTTCTTCTTCATTCCTGGTCTCTAATTCTTTTCCTTTTTTCTTTATCTATATTTATCTGCTGCTCAGCCTTTACACACTAAGTGCCTAGAAGATCCAAGTGAACACGATCCAAACAACTGAATATGATTAGGGTCAGAATGTTCCTCTAACCCCACTGAATCTGATGTACAAAGAGTGAAAACAGAACAGAAGAGTGATTGCAGAGCACCTCCTCCTGCATGCCTCTGAACATTCAGATTGAACTTCAAGAATTAGGAAGAGGGAACCAGCAGTTAGCGTAATAGCTATGTCGCTGGACTCCCACGTAGTCGACCATGTTTCGTGTCCCAGACCCGGTGGCTTAAAACTCAGGCGCGTGTGTGTGCATGCCCAAGATCCCAAGAGGAGAATGGAGAAGGGATTGTGGCATGACCATCCCCCTGGGGGGTGATTTCTTGCTTTCTGTCTCTCTGTCTGTCCGGTGAGCGCACATGCCCTATAGCAAAAACCTCTCCAAAAAAAAAAAAAGAAAGAATTAGGAAGAAATGCACCATCCATTAGATAACTAGAAATCACTACAGGGTCACAAGAAATATGGAAAAGCAAGAAAATACCTCTCCTCCAAGGGAAAAGAATAACTCCTCTTCATCCTCAGTACAATGGAACTCATGGAAATGTCTGATAAAGAATTTAGCATATTCATAGTGACAAAGCTAACAGAGATGGAAGAGAAGAGAGACATGAACTGCAGAAGAGGCAGGATAAAGGAGCTGACAAGTTCCAGGAGGTGCGGAAATTCTTGCAAGATCTAAAAGAGGAAATATACCTATAAAAAATAATCAAATGGCTATAGTACAGGAAGTCAAAACCTCCCTTGAAAGTATTAAAAGCAGACTAGATCATATAGAAAATTGAATTTCTGATGTAGAAGATAGAATCATTGGTCTAGAAAAATCCACCACGAAGACAGAAAAATGCCCAAAAAACTGAGAATAATATACAAGAAATACTATATACCATCATACATCCAAACATCCAAATAATTGGTATCCCAGAAGGCGAGGAGATATATAAGGACATTGAAGATCTATTCCATGAAATCCTGGAAGAAAACTTTCCAAAGCTAGAGAGACACTCAAAGATCCAGTCTCAAGACATACAAAGGACCCCAAATAGAATCAACCTAAGAAAATCGTCTCCAAGACACATTTTAGCCAGATTGACCAAAACCACACACAAAGACAAGATACTAAGATTAGCAAGAGAGAGCAGCAAGTTACCTACAAAGGATATCCCATCAGGGTAACAGCAGACCTCTCATTGGAAATAATGCAAGAGAGGAAAAGAATGTGAAAATATATTCAGAGTATTAAGGAAAAAGCAATTTCAACCAAGAATACTGTACCCAGCAAGATTATCTTTCATATGGAAAGAAAAGAACATTCTCAGATTTAAAAAAAAAAAAAAAAACCTGAAAGAATTTACCAACACCAGACCAGATCTCCAAGAAGTTCTCAAGGGAGTACTATGCCAGGAAAATTAAATACAGACATACAGAAATAAGAACTCAGAAACTAAGAAAATGGCCAAGTTAATCATAAGGACAAGTCTGGATTTGAATATTATGTCCCAGAATTTGATCGGGAAGATCAAACCACAACAGAAGATAGATTAATTAAGTACATGAGACTGAACTGGTGAAATAGCATTTTATGACTTTTGACTAAAACATTGTTGATTTTCTTCTAGGCTTTGTTTTCCCATTTTAAGGATTTTTGTTCTGTCTTGAGCTGCCAATAGGTTCATGTACCTACTATTTGAACAGAATTCTAACCTGTTTCCCGGCTTTAAGTTTTAAGCAAAGTTCCTTAGCATTTTTTTGATTTATTAAAGCTAAAACTGCTTTTCTTAAAATTAAAAAAATATATTTAAAAATACCTATTTAATGACCATAGTAAGCTTTATAGCATCAGCTAAGTACTACCTTACCGTATATTCATGCTACTCAGAGTTTCACACATAAAGTCAGACATGTACTCACTGATAGGTACATACCAGTTAAACTTGCTATTGAATGAGTTAGACTACTTAAATTTTGTGAATCAGTAAAATGTGGAGGAAAAAAGGAATGGAAAACAACTGTAGACACCTAAGATAGTGTGGGAGGAAGGTTGGAAATGGTAGAGAGTGAGAAATAAGGGTGAAATAAATATATACATGTATATATATGAAACTAGAAATGGAAAATTAATGACAACATGTATGATTAAGCCACTATACAGTATATTCTAGATGGGAAACCACATTTAGAATGTTGTGATGATGCTCAGGGAATGAATGTAAATTAATTAATTTAAAATGTTTCAGAAGAAAATTGCAGTGTACTTGTAATTAGATTCTAGCTTTGTTTATAATTTTAGTTTAATATATTTTGTAAAGCAATACAATGTGAGGGGAAAAATGATCCTCAGAACCAATCTATTTCTTGCTTTGAAAAGGTAGAAAGATTTTGCTGGGGAAAACTGAAAATAATTTTCTTTCAAACCTAGAAAATCCTGCCTCTATATTTTCTGTAAATGTATGAAATTTGAACATTCTTCATGATCTCTCTTGTTATCCCAAAGGCAGAGAGGAGACTACGTAGCACTTTGCACATTTCCCCCCTAAAATCTTAGTCAGACCTCTCAAATGGTGAGAAACCCTTAACTTTTCATGTTGTAGCAGTCAATACTGTTGCTAACTGGAGTCCAGTATATAACCTGCATGTATGTCTCTGGTTAAAGTGAGATTTTTTTTTTCATTATCTTTTAAGCCCTTACCAGGAATCTTGATACCCTGCCAGCTTCCATTAATGCTTTTTTAATATAATTATTTGGTTTTTTTTTTATTTATTCATTCATTTATTTCTTAATTTGACCAGAGAGAGACAGAGGGTGAGAGTGAGAGAGAAAGGAAGTGAGAAAGCAAGCCACCAGATTCAGGACTCAAACCCTGGTCGGCCATGTGGGAATGTCCAGCGCTTTAACCACCATGCCACCTGCTGGTCCCCATTAATGCTCTTTTGATAATGCAGCATTAGTCATAGTGGCACAGCAATTGGAGGACATGGTTTTGATATGGAAGAATGAAGGTTCCTAACACTGCACCCCAGAACTAGGGAACTAGGGAACTGTGTCCAAACAACCAGGGGAATGCTGGGAAAATAGAAGTGTGAGGGATGGCCTTGAAACAAGCTGATATTGAACAAGTTGAATGCTTTCTTTCAGGTAACTCTGCATGAGATCTGCAGTCCATTCTGTGTAGTCTGTCATATTGATTTACCAGACATAGCTCTTCCTATTCTTATGAAAATTTAGCTGATATATTTCTGTAGCATCAATGAGTAATTCAGAAGCAAGATACAGGTTTTATTAGTTATCCCAAATATTGCTAGCATTGCTATGTTTTTTAGAGATATATGTAAACCCTATTTTCTGAGACATCTTCAACTAGTTCAGTACTAGAGACCTTCCTGAAATTACTTTGTGTATCTTCTCAAATATGTGTCCTTTTCTAGTGCATTCTCTGTGTGACTAAATTATTGCTAGTTCATCTATGTGTGTACTTATCCACAAGTAATCTCGAATCCATTTCTTTTGCTATTTTGAGGAAGAGTTAACTTGGTAATATGAGTAAGGCCTTTATAGACATTCTCCAGTATCATTATGTTAGTAGATGTTCACTACTAACATAATGATACTGGAGATTGTGAACTCCAGTATGATGATACTGTGGTTGTGAACTCTTATCCACATAATTACTTGCCATAGGATATGTGAGAAATAGAGTACATTTGCCTGACTGTAATGAAATAGTGCTTAAACATTTTCTTAGCCTAATATTTTGGATTATTATAATGATCCTCAAATAATTCTTTGTATTTAGGCTGTATGCAGTGACCGTGTGTGTGTGTGTGTGTGTGTGTGTGTGTGTGTGTGTGTGTAAATTCCAAATACTGAGTTTTGGTAAATGCTGAAATTCCATTTTCATTTGTTTTAATATTTTTCAAGGCCACCTCATCTGTGGCACTTTGCCATAGCAGGTATTCACGGAATGCAAACTAACAGTCTCCTTACTAAGATATACTTCCATCTTTTAAAGTAAGAACGTGTGACTTTCAAAAGGTATGGAAAAGGTTTGGGATATTTTTGAAGCATGGAAGAATATCATTTTGGATAAATGTTTTAGTTTTTTTTTTTTTTTTTTTTTTTTGCTATAGGGCACATGTGCTCACCAGAGAGATAGAGAGACATAAAGTGAGAAATACCCATGCCGCAATCCCTTCTCCTCCAGTCTCCTCTCAGGATTTTGGGCTTGCTTACACACACACACACACACACCCCATGACACACATACACCATGAGTTTGAGGCCTCTGGGTCTACTGAAACTACGGTTGGCCATGTGGGAAACTAGCAACATAACCATTAAGTCATCTGCTGGTCCCTGCTTTATATTTCTTATAGGCAAGGAAAGTGCACATAAAAACCAAGAAGTGGTAACACATGTAACATCTCAGGAAGGACACAGTCAAGTCAATGGTAAGTTCCATGGTTGTGAACTCTTATCCACATAATTACTTGCCATAGGATATGTGAGAAATAGAGTACATTTGCCTGACTGTAATTAAATGGTGCTTAAACATTTTCTTAGCCTAATATTTTGGATCATTTTAATTTAGAAAAAAATTAACAAAAGTTCAAAATCATAACTGGAAGTCTTTAAAAAAAAAAAAGAAAATTTAAACTTTGAACCTGTTTGGTGATGTGTAAATTGTGTTGGCAGGCAGCCTTGTGAATTGTATCTCTGTCTCTCTTTTTTTATTTAATTTGGTTTTGCTATGGGACTTATGTGTTCACCAGAGAGAGAGAGAGAGAGGGAAAGTGAGACAGCATGCCGCAAGGTGGATGCCCATGCCACAATTCCTTCTCTTCCATTCTCCTCTGTGAATTTTGGGCACACATGCACATGTGCCCAGTGTGTCTTCCAAGCCACTGGGTCAGGGACATGAACTGCACAGTTGGCCATGTGGAATCTAGCTGCTTTAACCACAGGCCCTCTCTTCCTTCGAAGACTCCAAAATTGTTTTAAGTCACTTTGGAAATCAGAAACTTTAATGCCTCTTAGAAAGACTAGGGAAGAATCTGCACCAGTCTTTCCCTCTACCAAATGTGCTGAGGTCAGGAGTTTGGGGACCCCATTACTTAAAGTGGAGAAGTGGGAATGGCTTCCAAGGCCTATTTGTGTCTCTAGAAATGATTGAAGTCCCTGTGGATGCCCAGAAAAAGCTGGTGTTGTGTGGAGCGCCCCCGCCCATCGCCCACAGCGCTCATCTTAAAGATGGCACCTAGTGGAAGCTCACTAAGTGCTCGAAGTTGTAAACAACTTCGAGGAAGTGGTGCGCGAGGAGCGTGGAGAGCACGGGAACATCACATGCAGCCAATCCCTACCCGAGAACTGATTTCCGCACACGTGGACAATGTCCCGATTGGCCAGGG